TTAATGTCTGCTTTTTTAATTTTTATATGTTCCCCCTTCCTGCCTTTATCTGTAAGCCGCCCTGAGTCTCTTGAGAGTGGGCGGCATACAAATCCTAATAAACAGTAAACAGGGGCAGGAGGGAGGGGTCAACTGATCACCGGAATTACTGGTTCACCCAAACTGGTCCAAACTGGCTGAATCTCACCCCTGACCCACACCCATAGAGACAATGAAAACTGTCTTCTTAGACGATGGGACTGTGGATGTTAGTCCATTGCTCTAGTCCTCATGAAAGTCATTTTATACCTCTCCATTCCCACCTCTGCCAATTTCAGTCAAAGCAGTGCAAAGTCTCACTCAGAGATGGTGTTCAGCTAGTTCTCTCCTGGTTCAGGCGTACAGATAACGATAGCTGCAAGAGGCTCCGCCCACCCGCCCCGATGTAATGTGCGAGCACTGCGCATGCACAGAAGGCGGTACGCAGACAAGGCACATGTGATTGAAGCGAGTGCATGCATGCTCACATTTGCGAACCGAGTGAATCCCAGCTCTGGTTTGACCCTACCCAGAGCCAAACAGTTCACTCTCTATGGCCTTTCAGAATTTCACACAATGCTCAGGGAACTTGATGCAGCATCCCTCCTGGGTAGGATGCAAAATGGCCACCGAGCCTCAAAGGATCCCAGTGGCAGTGCCCAATGTGTGACCACCCACATTTTAATCCCTCAGAAGGCAAGGGAGGAAGACAGCTTACTCTTCTTCAAATGTTTCTTCTTGGTTTTACGGCAAATGCCGGTAATGCCCGGCACTGCCTTCATGTCGCTCTTGTTGACAGGCGGGGGGTGCAAGATGGGCTTTGGAGCTCGCGTCAGGCAGACGGGCAAACCCGCTGCACACATCAAGATGCCGGTCATTCCTGAAACAGAGAAAATGAATGATTCCAATAAAATTCATTCCATGTGTTCTGATTTAACAGATCTCTGGATTTAATGGACTTTTGGATTTAACAGACTTTTGGATTTAACAGACCTCTGGATTTAACAGACTTTGGGATTTAACAGACNTATGCTGCCTTCGCTTCCACGAAGGAAGAAAAGCAGGGTAAATTCAATAAATAGACAGATGACAATCATCAATATAGTCTGTACTAGCCTGCCATGGAAAGGAAGGCACCAGAGATCGGAAACTCGCCGAAAAAGAATGATGAACGAGAATAGAAGGACCTTGGAGAGCTCCCCGCAAACTGTTCAGGTTGAGATAATTTTCAACAGGAGGGCCGTTGCTCCATCAACAGCCTGTGATCAACTGTGATTTGAAAGATTGGCAAAGCCTGCGGCGCCTTAAGCAAATGTACCTTTGCTCTGTCAGTCTGATGGTAAGAAGAAGGATCGGGCTTTCCATCAGAGGAAAAATGCTTTTTTCCCCGGTGAAATCGGTCTATCAGGAAAACCTGGTCTAACCTGGTCCCAAATATGGGAGGGAGCACACAGCTTCCCCTTTCAGCCCCAATCCAGGAGCCTTCTCAGGCAGTCGCTTTCGCGATGTATTAACCTCTAAGCCACAGACTCTCCTCGCTTTGTCGGCTATACCAGGGGAGAGATTAAGTGGGAGCATACAACTTCCTTGTTTGTCTTTCCGCCCCAATCCAGGAGCCTTCACAGGCAGCTGCTTTCACAACAAACTATTTTTGTGTGTGTTGAATTTATATTTACCAACAAAGAAACAAAAGGAGACTGGTATAGATCTATTTCAAGCTATTTTGCTCTCATCAGCTAGCCATAACTTTCTGGGATTCGAACCTGGGCTACTTACATATTAGGTAGATGTATTAACCTCTAAGCCAAAGGCTATCCTCACTTTGTCAGCTATACCAGGGGATCGATTAAGTGTTTTTTTCTGGTGGGACCAGTCTATCAGGGCAATTTGGTCTACCCAAATATGGGACGGAGCATACAGCTTCTGCTTTCAGCCCCAACCCAGGAGCCTTTGCAGGTAGTTGTTTTAATGACATACTATTTTTTTTGTGTTGAATTTATATCTACCAACAAATAAATAAAGGGAGACTTGTATAGATTTATTTCAAGCTATATAGCTCTCGTCAGCTAGCCATACCCTTCCTGGGATTCAAGTAACTTGGGTTCGGATCCCAGTAAGGGTATGGCTAGCTAATGAGAGCTAAATAGCTTGAAATAGATCTATACTAGTCTCCCTTTATTTATTTGTTGGTAGATATAAATTCAACACATCAGAGGTAAAACTTCCTTGAAGTGTTGATGGCCAAATGAGCAGGGGGGGAGGGGAAGGGAATGTGAGAAAAGGAAAGGAAAAAAGGGAAGGGATAAAGGAAAAGGAGGCAGATGAGTGTATCAACCAATCAATCACATTTATTTGATCAATGACCGCCAAAATTTGAAAGAATGTGAAAGTGTGACTACCCGACGTCGAATCCGGGAGCCCCACAGTGTGTAAAAATTAACTATCGGCACCCAACTATCGGCACCCAA